ACAACATTTACCGGCCTGAATGTCCGAGAAATTTTCATAGAAAATATTCATCTTCCAACAGGATTCGAACCCGTATCCTATACGGAACCGTCATTTAGCTTGACGTGCCTTTATGTGCCATTACCGATTTGCTAGAGAGGAGCGTTCGGTTAGCAAAGTAGAATTTACTGTATTTATCTGCTCATGGCGTATCAGATGTAAACAAATGACGTCATTTGTTTACATTTGATACGCCATGAGTACATATGAATATACGTGAAAGATTAAAGTTGAAATACAGTAAATTCGACCTTGTTAATCGAACGCTTCTCTGTGACCGAATCGGTAAAGGCACATCAACCTAAATGACGGTACGGTATAGGATACAGGTTCAGTTCCTGTCGGAGGACGAATATTTTCTATAAAATTCTCAGGCATTCAAACCAATATGGAGCATTTATAAATATTTATATATAAAAAGAATGTATAAACATAAAAATGTCTTTATATAATATATATATATATATATATATATATATATATATATATAAATTGAGATAGATATCTCTCTCTCTATATATATATATATATATATATAAATGAGATAGATATCTCTCTCTCTCTCTCTCTCTCTATATATATATATATATATATATATATATTGAGATAGATATCTCTCTCTCTCTCTCTCTATATATATATATATATATATATAAATTGAAGATATCTCTCTCTCTCTCTATATATATATATATATATATATATAAATTGAGATAGATATCTCTCTCTCTCTCTCTCTCTATATATATATATATATATATATATATATATATATATATATATATATATATATATATATATATATAAATTGAGATTTCTCTCTCTCTTCTATATATATATATATATATATATATAAATTCTGTATATATATATATATATATATATATATATATAAATTGAGATAGATATCTCTCTCTCTCTCTCTCTCTTATATATATATATATATATATAAATTGGATATCTCTCTCTCTCTCTATATATATATATATATATATATATATATATATAAATTGAGATAGATATCTCCTCTCTCTCTATATATATATATATATATATATATATATATATATAAATTGAGATAGATCTCTCTCTCTCCATATATATATATATATATATATATATATATATAAATTGGTCGATTTCTCTCTCTCTCTCTCTATATATATATATATATATATATATATATATATATATATATATATATGAATGTGAATCATTTGCTCTTTCTTATGATGTTTCTGTATCTATGTCCTTTTTGGAATTATCCATACGGATTACCAAATTCTGGCCATAAGACCCGGTTTCGAATCTCACCATGGTCGATTTGTCAGGAAGGAGACTTCATGATTTAGGCATGGATCGAACCCCAAGACCCCTTGGGTGCCGTCGATAGCTATGCTAGCACAAACCCACAAGTCATCGTGGCTGAGGGCTTGAACGCGCTGGCCTTGCTCAAATTGTTGACCACGCTAGATAACACGCTCTCTGCCAGAAACTGTAACTAAGGTCTGCTCAGCATAGTTGCAGTATAAACAGGTTGGCTCTGTAGGTGTTGAGCAAACACACATGTGTCTGATCAAGAGTCTGCAATAGCGATTGGCTGGCCGCCCTAGTAGACGGTTATCCCCGAATACCAGTAGCCAGCTATTATATATAATCGACTCTCCCGTCGAGATTCGACGTATGAGGGTCAAGCAGATCAGTTTCCAGGAAACCGACAGCTCGACACCGGCACATGAGATTTGATTATAGTGGGGAAGGCCTCGTGCAGAGACCTGGTGCACCGAATGCCACAAGGTTCACGAAAGACCCTCCGCAGGTTTTGAATTCAGAGTTGTCCTTCTCCTAGACCAGTTGCCATCCAAGGCTATAGAACCCAGTCTGTCCTGCTATTTTACTCATAGCTGGAGGGAGAGGAAGAGGATTCATACCTTTCCCAAGTGTATTAGCACGTAAGTGAATGTAATGGATTCGACTGGAATTCGAACTCGGCTCTGCGGTCCCTCAATCCAAGCCGCTATCCAATACTCCACCGTGCCTCCACTGTATATATATATATGTGCATATCCATTACTCCTCCTATATATATATGTGCATAATTTTATATTTGCATTCGTAACGTAGTCCAACCTGTTGTATGGTATTTGCAGAGATGCCAGGCACTACCAAGTAACCCTGCTCGTCATTGAGAAAAAGATCATTAAAAACCTCATTCGACGCGCTCTGACCATATAAAATAGGTCATCATTTAATCGGATTTCTTGATCGTAGAGTTGAAAATAATAAACATTTGTATATATCAGCATAAATCAGCCACAATATATATATATATATATATATATATATATATATATATATATATATATATATATATATATATATATATATAATTGTGCGTGTCTGTGTAATCAAATTTATATCACATTTAAATATATATCTATGAAAATTGGATATGTTAAATAAATCTTAAATATTTCTCTCATTCACGACTTTACCGGAAGTAAAGATGTCTCTAGGCATTTATACGCGTATCTCCATTACACGTAAATATCTATGTAGCATGTGTATATCAATCTATCTGGTATAATTATGAAGATATACGATTATGTATGGTAGGTATGTATGGAGAAGCATTAAAATGCAGCTAAGATTACGACAGTTTGTTTGTCTTTTGCGTTCTTATTTCCTCTCAAAATTCCTTGTTAATGCTAAGAGATCGAAATCACTTATTTGGGTGGCACAAAGAAATGCATCGACTGTTGATTTCTAACCTTGCTGAGCATTTTTAACCAACATTATTATGCAAATAAACGAAAGAATACATATCTATTTTTCCCCTTTTTTAGACTATATTTACATATGCGAATTTGATGAAGGGGGTTTTATACTTTAGGTTTTAAATGTTTCAATACAGACTTAAAAGCATTTATTTTTGTGCGCGTGGCAATTTACTGACAACTATCTATCTATCTATCTATCTATCTATCTATCTATCTATCTATATGAATATATAAATATATGTATATATAAATCTGAAAGCTTCGTTTATTGACT